CGTATAGATACTTAGATACCTAGTGAAAATTACTCATCAATTTTTTCTAAATTTACTAATCTTATCTAGTAAATATACCAATATCTGGTTAAACTGCGATCAATTAAGGAGGTCACCATGGCACTATATTATAAACATTCTGTTAAAGTCTATTAGCTTAACAGATGGAAGACATCCCTATCACTATATACCCTCCCACTTTTGTAGTGATTGTATGGACAGTGAATCTACTAGTTTTCTTCGTGACATTAACTAGTTATTTTTTTACAGTGTAATAATCTGTGAAAGTATCATTAGATTTCATTCAGTGGTATAGATGGAGTTGCGGATAACGGATGGATAGCCTTCAATATTATAGAAAGAATGGCAGTGTCCATGTTTTGCTATTGAAAACCCGAAGTGTGTAACTGTGTCGATCAAAAAGTAAAATAGGAGGTCACCATGGCACTATATTATAAACATTCTGTTAAAGTCTCATTAAATTTCATTCAGTGGTATAAGAGGAGTTGCATAATATGTGTAACCATTTTTCCTTTCAAAACATTTTATTTTAATAAATTCAATAGTTAGATGAATTAAAAAAATCTTCCTCGGGCTAATTTAATATCAAATTAGCCTATGGAAGATTTTTTATCTGTGAAAAACATACTTGTATCCAGGGAGCATGATCGTATTTAGGCGTCTCCTGAAAAAATATAAATTTGGTAACTTATCATGTTTTATCTATTAACTTGAATTTGTACTTATATATTTTCTCTTTTTTACAGGATTTAATTTCCTTGTCATTTTAAAATTTTTGTTGACTATACAGGATTCATGCAAGCATTAATTTTAAAAAGTGCGTCTGTTTAGAGTATGTGCAGTTGTATGCAGTTGTATACATACTTGTCTACGAGGAACATCGTCTTGCATGTATCTAAACGCCTGTTGAAAGAAAACTTTTCGGTAAAAGAACATTATGATAACATTTATACTTTACTTTGATGGATCTCGATTTGTTTTTATAGTTTCAATATATTTTGGTCGATTTGTTTTTTTAACAGATTCACATTAATTATTCAATGATGATGTATTAATAACGAGTTCTGCTGTAGTTTGAGTTAAAATATTAATATCTCAGAACATTGTAGAGTAAGATAGACAATGCATTTATGTGCTGCATGACGTTAACCAACAAGTAACCATTTGATGTGCTGGAGCCAATCAACAAATGTGCTGGAACTTATCAACAAACAACCATTGTAGATATGCTAGATCAAATCAACAAACAACCTTTGTAGATGTGCTTGATCGAATCAACAAATAACCATGTGTAGATGTGCTGGAGTAGCTGCAATAATGTAGCCCTCTCCGATTTTTATATCTGACATTTTCTGGAGAGGAGCCCTCCCCCCAAAAAAGGGAGAGGGCTACATTATTGCAGCTAGTGCTGGAGCTAATCAATAAATAACCATTTGTAAATGTACTGGAGCTAATTAACAAATGTGTTAAAACTAATCAACAAATAACCATGTGTAGATGTGCTATAGCTAATAAACAAATGTTCTCGAGCTAATCAACAAACAACCATTGGGGCTTATCAACAAATAACCATTTGTAGATGTGCTGTAGCCAACCAACAAATGTGCTGGAGATAATCAACTTACAACCATTGTAGATGTGCTGAACAAGGAGCAAATCAACAAATAACCAATTTTGAGCTTATCAACAAATGTGTTGGAGCAAATCAACAAACAGCCATTTGTAGATGTGCTGGAGCTAATCAACAAATGTACGTGCTGGAACTTCAAACAGCCATTTGTAGATGTGCTGGAGCTAAGAGTTAAACAGTGCTTTATCAGTTTGTTTAATTCGTATACCTACTTGTTTTCGAGGCGAAACGTAATTATATCTTGATGACTGCTGGAAAATAGCAAAATTCTAAATACAAAAATTTGTTCACTTTCGTATTTTTTCTAGCATATTCCATACAAGTTCTAATTAATTGAAGAAAACTTTTTATTTTACTTTAAACAGTTCATAACAAGAAACATACACTATAACCCTCTATACAAATGAAAAGGCTTGATTTTTTGTATTAAAGTACATTTAAAGTTTACTCTTCAATTTCTTAAAACACAGGAAGAAAACACATGGGGTGGCCTCCAACTCGACATTTAGATATATCGACGTCGTATTGTCAATTAACAATGGTAATTTTCATTTCTTTGTGGATACAACATATCCTGGTGAGCTTGGGATAAAAGATACTACAGAGTCTGACACATCTGTTTCATACTTGGAAATTTTACTTGAAAAAGACATTAATGGTAAATCAACAACCAAGCTCTATGGTAAACATGATGACTTTAACTTTTCTATCGTCAACTTCCCTTACTTATGCAGCAAAATACATTCACCACCTGAATACAGAGTTTATATATCTCAGTTGATTCGATACGCAAGAGCATGCTCTACGTACGAATAATTTCTAAAATGAGGTAAATTATTGACAAAAAAGTTGATGAAAAACGAATATCAGCAGTCTCGTTTAAAGTCATCATTTCCTAAGTTCTATGGTCGATACAATGACCTTGTCCCAGGATCATGAAACATCTTAAGCTTAAGTCAAAATCTTGATTTTATTATAAAATGTTGTAAGGTCGAGAAGAGCAAAATTAAAATATTTTTCAATATTGCATCTCAAACGAGTTGTTAGCTGCAAATTTCTAAATAAATTCCTCAATTAATGAATATTTTATAGGCGATAGAAAATTTGACTTAAGTCTAAGTTTGTTTCATGATCCTATGGCCAGGTCAGCAAATACAATTTATCATTGAGTCAAATGCTGACTGTCGTTTTTCATCCTAATTATATCTATACACCGAATTGGCGACGGATTTTTCCGTTATTTCCTAGTCATGACAAGGAGCGCACGGCGGGTGTGACCGGTCGACAGGGAATGCTCACTCCTCCATGGCACCTGATCCCACTTCTGAAATTTTGGATGTTTGTGTTTGCTTTGCTCCAATTTTGTATTGTTTTATGGACTTTGATACTGAATACTGTTTGTTACCTTTATATCCTTCTTAGAAAGTATCTTGATAACTTATACATGTTACCCAAAGGAGTTTTCTATTCCGTTAATATTTAGTCTGGCGTACGTCTATAAATGATTTATAGGCGTGACTTTAAAACCTTTTCCCTCTGAAGATTTTTGTGTGTTTTTCTACTTCATTTCAACATGTTACCTGCCACATTTTACGAGAAAAATTTGTCTCCCCCAATAATGCAGCAATAGCGAAGAAAAATCACTGTTTTATTAGCCGGGCTTATTGCTCAAAGAGCAATTGCCGGCTTATGTGATCCTGTTCAAGGCAGGATGTTGACCCCATAGTCGCCATTTTAAAGTTACATGCAAAAATATAGTTCTTACTCTCAACCGCTTTTGTGATAATACAAACGCTAAATAAAGTAACAAAAATAAAACGAAGTTTTATCTATATAAAATAAACATTAGTAGTAAAACTTCATAAGTCAAAGAACATAGTTCATTAGCGTAAGGATTTTTGATAATCAGTGTTACCGTAGTTCTCTACACATACGAGGTAAAGCAGGAGAGGGAACCAGACTGACCTGTTTGTTTACATTCAGCTGCGGTACCAGATTAATTCTGATTCTGACAAAATCGGACCGTGGTATTAGGATTGAAAAACTCACTGTCAGTGTCTTATCGTTTATATTGATAGTTTTAAAATAATTTTTTCATTAGAATGTAAACGTGATTCATGTTAGAAATCCATTCTACTCTGTAAATGAGCCCGGCTCTCTGTACTTCTGAGTACTTTGATTTTTTACTTAGGTTTAGAGAAAATATACAAATATTGTGATTTTACAATAATTTTTTCGTACTCTAATACTTGCATAACGTCAACTCTTCTTTAATCATTTTTCAAAAATTTGTTCATTCGCTGTAAACTTTTTGCACCAAAAGGTAGGTCACTCTAACTGCAAATAAACCCCAATAAATTAGAACTATTGTGCAATATTTAGAGCTTCCTAATAATTTATCGGAAAAGGTGTAATGTAATGCTCTGAAAGAATATTAGGTTATGAACAACGTAGCCCTGAAATTATATTTTAATAAAACATACATCCTTATAGCCATTTTTTGAATCAGTTTTAACTGACCACATAATAAAAAGGACCAATGTTCAGTAATCAATATTTGACAGACAGGGTGATTAAAGGCAAACATTAGATATGAAAAGTATTGAATTTAAGTTAATTTTGTATTTCACGACATTGATCAGGCAAAATTAGTTGTTAAAAATTTTGTAAACAATGAAAAGGGACCCTTTTGTTTATTTTGCAATACATGGGATTATTTATGAATTCTTTTAAAGCCACTTCAAATGTATTTGCTCTACATATGACGCTCTCAGAAATGTGTTCAATTGCTTTAAATCTGTAATAAGGCGATTTTTAAAATGCGATTTGGGGTACATTAACCAATCAAGGAATCCTTACTTAACCCCTTTTCGTTTAGAATTACTGATTCAAAATCAGCTTGTTTACGGTCTTTGAACGGCCACATCAACAAAACACTTGCCCATTCAAACGAATACATTTATTTTATAGGAAATTGTTCCTTTAAACTTGACATTTGATTTAAAGGTAAACCATCATTGGGAATTGGAACATTTGGTTGTGTTAATGATAACACATAAAAGTTAAAAATAATTAAAAACTTGTGTGAGTCAATCAGGTTTTGACGAAACATTCATTTGACATCCCAAACAACAACCCAAATGAATAATGACCACAAGAGCAAATGTCCATACTACAATATCGCCCCAAGAACTAAACAAATACGAAATTATTAACTGTAGGCATTATTTCTAAAAATTAACAAAATATGTTCTTCATTGAAATCATATGATATTTCCAAGCAGTGATGGACTGCATGAAAATCGTCATACTGCAGTTTGCCATTATAAGTAAAAAAAAATGAACTTACGTTATCCCAGATAGGATTTCGTTTCTGACGTCTCTCCGGCCAGTGATGGTAGCGGACCCTCTCTAGATCCTGGGGGCTGATTTTGTTGTCGAAGCCCACAAATTCCCCGCTCACCCCCTGCAGCATTTCCTCCGGTGCCGACCGATGAGTCCATCTCCCGGGGGACGTATGCTGCCGGTGCCAAAAATCCTTCTGTGATGGCCAGTGGTGGTATCGCCAAATGTCTCGGGCAACAGCGCTCATTTTTGATGGTCACTCAATGAGATCACTTCATTCCAAAAAGGTATAAAATTTCCAAAAAGATTTCCTGTATAAAACGAATAGTAAAAATTCCTCTTAGATTTAGCATAGCTGAATAGACATAAATGGTAACTATGAAGACAAGAGTGCTACAATGTGGTGTTAAAGCAAAGACAGGTCTTTGAATACATCTTGATCAGATAGACATACTTCGTCTGGCTGCATAGAATCCTTTAACTGATTAAAATCGAATAAATGTGTAAACACCCGCCAACCAAAAGGATTGTCGTCGATTCGGCTCAGGTACTCGCTACAATGTGTTGTGTATATTTACAGGTTTGGGAATTAGAGAATTAAATAAACCCCCTATTGACAGGTTGGTTATCGGATTTATGTTACTATTACCTGCATCGGGTCCTTTTTCTGAACTTGTTATGTGCAGCAAAACAGTTTGCTCAGCCAGATAAGGAACTTCAGAATTGGCAGCCGGGTCGTGTAACGAAGTATTGAAGAACAATCAATCTTCATCGATCGAGTTACTTTAATTTTTTTGGTCAATGTCAGTTTTGTTTTGGGTGTTTCATAAATTATCAAAATTAACATTCGGTGTAAAATTTACATTTAATTCTCAGTGGGAGAATTGTTTGTAGTTTGGTTTATTTGACAGTTTTATTAAAAGAGACACTTTCATTGTACTGTGGCTTGGGTGCAACGAAGTAAAAAGTTTATTTTTTAAAATAAAAGATAGCTGTTAGATAATGAAATCATTATAACAATCAAAGAATGCCTGTTTTTCTGTTCTCGTCTCCTAGATATCAGAATTTGGTCTGATATAAGTATAAACTAATTTAAATAGTCCCTTGCAAAGATTTCATCTTATTGATGCATGTGATGATTAAAGAGTGAGTATATTTTGCAAAGTCCATAGAAACTCAATATCCGTTAAGCATATTGTATTTGTTTAACAGCTTTTCAAGCATAAAGTTATGATCATGACAAATTAAACTCAAATGCACTTAGAATATCAGAAAAATCGATCTGAATGGGGATAAAAAGATAGTTATAATTGATTTTTTTTGGGGTAAATTTTATAAAATATTCAGAACCTAACGCATATCAATTAGCATTTGATCCTTTGCAACTGCAAAAGAAAAATTTCCTATCGCTGGGAAGGAATGCTTTTTAATTTATAAATATAAAAGCATATATTAGCAGATCTCAAATGGAATATACGCTATTGCAGGAATATTGATTAAACATATTTATATTATACAAAATTATACAGAATATCGGGTACAATGAATTCTTAATACAAAACTACAGTGTACATGCATTGGAACAATAAAAGCATTTCATAAATTAAAAATCTTATCATAATACATTTTATATGTGTGGGATTTAAACGTAAAATATGAAATGCACAACACCTCTAAAATGTAAAGTTTTGGAGATATTTTCATTAAGTTACATGAGTTATCGAAAGATACCCATTTTTTTAATGCAAAAGTTAGTAATGCTTGGACAAAGATATTTTGATATTCTTGTGAGAATTGAATTCTAATTAAACAATTTTGAATAAAGTTATATATGATATCTAGATCTTACATGTACCTACATGTACATATATATGGCCTTAGGAAGCATTTGGGGTGGGGGGGGGGTGGTGGGGGAATTGGAATTTCAGTTGGGAGGGAGAACAATGAAAGAAAATACGCCTTGAAATGAATAAAGTGGAAAACTAGAGGTACTGTGAGCAATGAGCTCACTAAATGATACCCCCCGCCTTCCATATGAATAAAATGGCAGTGTCCATGTTTTGCTCTGGAAAATCCAAAATATATGTCAGATCAAAAAGTAAAATAGGAGGTGCACAATGGCAATATGTAATAAAGATTCTGTGAAAGTTTCATCAAATTTCATTCAGTGGTATGAGAGGAGTTTCGGATAAGAGATGGGTACCCCAAAGCGTAACAGATGGACAGACGGACATACTGATTATTATATACCCTCCCGCTTTTCAAGCGGGGGGTATAAATATAAAGTAGGTACATTTAGGTTCCATGATCATTAACGTATATTTATTCTCAATTTTTTGATGGGGTTAGCCTTAGGGGTTGTCATTGTTCCGTTTTCTTTAAATATCCTTGAGTTTTTAACCAATAAATATATTGTCACCAATTTCTTTTTAGACTTTATACATGTTTCTACTGTATAATACATACAGGGTTATTTTCCCTTCATGTTATTTTCGACCTTTTACACTTGCAAACAATTTTGCCCCGTTTCAAATTTGCCCAGTCACAATTTTGTTTAAGAAATTATGTTGTATATTTTGAATTTGCCCATTTTAAATTCGTCCACTTGAGAGTTTGGCGAAAGGGGTGAAAATAAAACGTGGGCGAATTTCCCACCATACAGTAGTTGTCTTAAGATTATGATAGATCTTAAGATTATCATAAGATATTATAGTTTTGTGAAACGGCTATGGTGCAATCTTAAGACAGTTCTTAGTCATAAGATAGTTTTGAGAAACTTGTCCCAGGTCAAAAAAATTATTTGTAATGGCATTTTGTAAAACACTAAGTTCTTATTTTTTGCAGTGAAGTGGACTGAAGTTGTGCAATCCAGAGACTCTGTCATTGAAGTCAGTGAAGAAGAAAGCATGGGATTATTTTAAAATTATAAAAATCCCCATCAATATCTTCACAAAAACTCTATACTGAGCGGTGATGGGATTTTCCAATTACAGTGTAATCATGTTTTAATTGACAGACTCTGTTCATCAAATTGTTATTGTTTTTTTTTTTAAATAATGTTAGAAAGAACACTTTGTATATCTGTGTTTAAATGATTTTCTTTTTAATGATTCTCTCTTTTTGGTCATACTTTAAATGTGAAAATATGTCAAATTTTTGTTTTTAGGTGTTAATCATCGGGTTACAGACATGCTTTATTCGATTTCCTCTTTAATCCGATTTGAGTGCATTGCTTCATTGTGTTCATATTTATTTTTCTGTATTATGTAATGATTCAAAGAACTGTGTGTTTATAAAGGAGACATAGAACAAGTTTTAATATTGTTTGAAATGTGTTTTAAAAGGGCATAATGGTATTTGTCGAAAGTGCGTAGGCTCTACATAACTTCATTAGTTATGCTCATTTGACTTAACTTGTATATCAATGATATTTTTCAGACAGACCCTATTGAAAAACACAATTTTTTGTTTTGAAGTCATGACAATACAAAAATCATGTTTTCAAAATCCTCTATTCAGTTTGTGTGATTTTAAAAACATTTTTTCATATTGCTGAAAACTGCTGGATCAAGGAACATGGTTGTACTATATATTTATTTTCTCAGCTGTTCTTAAGGTTATCCGATCCTCAGGTTCTGAAAATCAGGCATTGAGTAATTGAAAATGCTCACAAAGATGTCTCTAAATTCTCAAAGTAAAATGTGTTTACCCACGGTGTTTCTTAAAACTTCATCTTTAAATTCAATCAAATTATATAGGGAAAATTAGTAAATCTCAAATAATTTTTCAGGAAATCCGAATAAAACTATCTACTGCATATTTTCTAATTGCAAATTGATCAACAAATACACTTTAGGAATAAAAATGATAGGTATCCACTATCCAGGCTCTTAAAAAAAATTGCATGAATTTTATACTCAAATAATTGTAACTTTCTCCTGCTTACTTCCATCGTTTCATAATGCATAGCGTATAAAGTGTTTCCTTTCAAAGAAAACACCATAAATCACTTCTAATTTCAAATCATGCTTATAAAAATTGGTAACTAAGGCTAAATTAAAAGAACTTTGATTTTTTTTAAATATGCAAGTTTTACTTAGTTTTATGAAGTACAAATGTCAACTTTTTTAAAACCGTTTGTTAAAACTTTAAAGAACATTGAATCATACGTAGAGGCACAAAATGAAAATTGTTGCATGAAAAAATTTCAACTTCAAGCATTATTTTAAGACTTTTTGAATTAAATTATAAATGAAAGAGTTATCCTTCCTGGCTGAGGATCGGATATCCTTAAGAGAAAAATTTAGTGAACATAATCTCCCCATTTTATCTCTTTAACTCTGCATGCTCTTAATTTTACATCTGCATATTGACACTTTTTCCCACAATATTTGATAGAGAACTTTCTTATTTGTACAGTATATTCATATTTAGAAGTCACTGATAACCAGTTGTAAAGTTTCGTTTTTTTCTAAAAATTTTTAGTGTTTTCTTCTTTTAATGATTCTTCGCCCGTGTGGCACAGTGGCTAGTGTTCTAGGGTCGCGAAGTAAGAAGATGATCCTTACGTTGTAAGTTCGAATCCCATTGTGGGATGTAGAGACTGATTCTTCGAATGAGACCGTGTCGCAGTAGGTGCTGGCACGAAGAAAGATCCCACCCTGCTCAATGGCCCTAACTAGTAAGTGCCGAGTATAGGACAAACTTTGCAGCTCTCCAACAGCAAGTGGTGGCGTCTCCATATAAGTGAAAAATTACGAGAGGGGTGTTAAACAATATACAATCAATCAATCTTTTGAAGATTTTATAGTATACTTTAAATGTATACTTTAAAAAATCCACAATTTAAAAGAATTCACGAGGTGCTTTTATGTGAATGTGCAAAATTTTACACATAAATGAAAGTTTGTGTTGAAATTCACTGTAGTTTTAACTTTACAAGTCAAACTTCTTAAACTAGTTTTTTATGTACCCGAATAGATAGATTGTTTTTATCCAGTCGTAACTACTCGGCCATTTCCGTGAACGATAAATAACTAATTATTTCTCTTTCGGAAAATGGTCGAGTAGTTACGAATATGTTTTTGTCCTATTTATCTGTTTGTATGTCTGTTGTCAACTTTAACCTTCGCCATACCTTTGAACCATGAAAGTAGAGACTTCATATGGTATGCATACTCCACTAACGAAGTTCTTACAAATTACACCAAGGTAAATGATCTTGTGACCTTGCTGTGACCTATATGATAAAAATAGCTTTTTAGAACTTTCGCCATAACTTTTGAACCATGAGAGATAGAGACTTCATAGTTGTTTGCGTACTTCACTAATTAAGCTTTTTCGAATGACATCAAGATCAATGACCTTGTGACCTTGACTTTGACGTATATGCTCAGAAAGCTTTTTCGAACTCTGTTGCCGCCGGTTAATTTTGTTGATTGATTGATTGTATATTGTTTAACGTCCCTCTCGAGAATTTTTCCACTCATATGGAGACGCCACCACTTGC